AGCCAGCCTGCACCCTAACCACTCCCTCCCAGGGAAGCCTGCACTGCGCTTCTGCCCACCCCAACTGACAGCCCTGACTCCAACCAGTGCTCACTGCTTCCTGGTGGGGCTGCTCCCATTGCAGCTGCAGCGGCTCTGGTACTGCTCAGTTCCCCTGCCTCCAGTGGCTGCTCCTCCTAATGCGCCACTCCGGGCACCAGGTCACATAGGGAAATGAGGTGTCCATGGGGACGTGCAGTGGGCCCACATGCCCAGCCAGGCAGAGGGGAAGCTGCAGGCATGGGCCTTCAGCTCCAAGTTGCCTTCCACCTACTATACCTGCCCACATGTGGCTGCTCATCACATCAGATGGCCGAGTGGGGTGGAAGGTGGCTGCGAGCTGGAGCCCTGTGCACTGGGTCAGAAATCACCCAGCTGCAGCTCCCTTCTCACCAGGCTGAGCGTGTGGTGCCTAGCACCCATCCCAACAGCTGCCATCACTTCCCCACGCTACCTGGGAGTGGTGCAGGAGGAGGAGCTGCTGCAAGTAGGAGTAGCTAAGCAGTACCCAGGCTGCTGCAGCCACAATAGGAGCAGACCCACCAGGAAGTTGGCTGGGGCAGGGGCCATTGGTGAGTGAGGGCAGGAGTGTGGCGTGGGATGCCCCAGGCAGGAATAGGCAGGGCTCAGCCCCATGCGGAGCACTGCAGGTGCAGCCGTGGGCTGAATACAATCAATTGGTGGGCACCCACGTGCGGGCTGGATCCAATCAGTTGGCAGGCTGGATCCAGCCTGCTGGCTGTATTTTGCCCACCCCTCTTTTATACATTGATAAGTGTATTACATTTGTACCTGTTGTACATCCTGCTTTGTATCATCATTCTATCCTCATTACTCTTTCTTGGCAGTATGGTGCATCTTGCACCATTTATCATTTATATTGTGTTGAGCCATCCTGTACCTACCCTTAAGCACAACCTAACAGCATATTCCAGCTTAAGCTTTTAAACAGTTTGTGCATCAGTCACAGCTGTCGTGAGGTCCATGGAAGTCAATGTCTCGGCAAAGCCTGAGAGTATACATACTAATCATAATCAGTGGTACTAGCCAGTGCTCTGGTGGCTGTTGCCAGGCTCTGTGCCAAAGTCTAGAGACTCTTGCATGTGCAGATGTTTGCCCCTGCCCTGCTCCTCCGTGGATAGATCCTTGTTGCAGCTTGTGATCTCAGAACCTCTATCTTGCTGCTGCTTGTGCATAAGCTGCACTTTTGCTTCCTCCTCCTGTGCCTGCTCCTCCCTCTCTCAGCAGGTCATAAAATCTGGAACTTCAATGCACTTTAGCCGTGATATCTTCCCTGATGCACTTCTTTCTTGCCCTCAGGCTAGAGACAGGGTAGGGGATGTCAACTCATACTGCTGGGGAAGACACTGACCATTTGGATTAACATTAAAAATAGAAGTCTCTCATTACTTCTGCACTCCAAGGCCGTAGTTTACAGCTGTCCTAGTTCTTGAGATGTCACTCTACCATTTTTTTGAGATGAGCTGACCAGAAGCAGCAATAGAAAATCATGTTGTCGTAAGGGTGTTTTTCTGCAATGGTCTTAAGTTTCTAAAGGCCAGCAATTTGTCTATGGTGACTGGGAAGAAAAGGAATATAAAGAGGAAGTTTTTTCCAGTTGGAGTTTCACATCCTTATCTGTAATGAGGAAACTCATCAAGGGCACAAACATTTGGAGGTAATAGTCCCAGCAAAAGAAACCAAATATCGCATAGTCTAATGCATAATCTCATTAATATGGAATTCATTACATTTGAACCCATAGACACTTTGCCTATTGGGAATTGTAAAAAAATGACAGGAAAAAAATAAAAATCTCTTCGAACAAGTCCTGAGAGTTGTGCAATGGTGTTGCTTAGCACCTCTAACTGACTTGAGACCTTTACCCCCTGCATCATGGCTATGAGTTCATGGCAGAGGGTGGGAGGTGGTGGGAACTGGGTAGAGACTTGCTGTATTAATCCCTCCCATTGCTTCTACCTTTAACAGAAACAGATTACATTTCAAGCGAGACTCCTACCTGTGCTATGCATCCTGATCACCCACCAGGAAATCCTTGCTTCTTTACACCAAAACTTCAAACCCTAGTGCAGGTGGCAGGCAGCATTTGTGACCCTGAGGTTCTGGCTCTGGCATTGTGTTCTGTGGGGATATGTAGATTTGCTGTCAGAGGTCCTTAAGAGTTTTAGGGCAACTACAAGAATGGCAGCCTAAGCAAGGTGGTTCTGGCATTTTCATGGTTCCAGGAACTGAAATGCTGTTTGCATCCCATAGTAACCCAGTGATCATCTCCTGTATGAAAGATCTCACTCCTGAGCACAATAATCCTAGAAGACAATAGGCCTACTACTCGGAGCAATGACAAGTATCTAGCACTCCTCCACCCCTGGCTTTTGTACATGGCAGCCCTGTAGAGCTGTCATGCACTTTATGCACTTGATCCTGCCAGCTTAATTGAGAACCTGCCACAATCAATTAACGTGGAGCCAGGGTTTCCTCTCTCTCTCTCTTTGGTTTTTTTTCCTCTGAGCTCTGACGACCCAGTAGGTATGTTGCCCCATTCCCAGGGACTTCAGCCCTGGCCAGCAGGTGGAGTTTCCTCTCACTGCCAACCCCTCTTCCTCTCCTTTACTTATTTTCTTCTTGCCGGCTCCTGGGGTCGGAAATGGCTCCCAGCGGCATAATTAAACCAATTTGGTTCATCCGGCAGGCTGATAAGACTCCACTGGAGTGGACCGGGAGATCCCTCCGGAGCACAGCCGGGTTGCAACGGCCGAACAGATCTCTTGGTTGGGGCCCTCCTTGAAGCAGGTACCCCAGTCTTTCCACAAGGAGGAAGTAGACATCTGCAGGAATGGTCATCAGATTGCTTGCAAGAAGCCATCTGAAAGCATCTTCTCAGCTTCTGAGTATGTAAAGGTCAGTTTCTACTTTCATCTGTGTACATCTGACCTGGAGCAAAGGTGCAGCATCAACATGAGCTACAGCAAGAGCACACAGGAGGCCTTCTGACAGCTGAGGATGTTCAGCTGCTCGCTGGACTTGACCTGAAGTCAGCATGGGGATGAAATACTATGGAAGAAGCAACTCGATTTCTTAAAATGTTGACACAAAGACATTTAACCTCCCTAAAGGTACTCTCATTTAGGAGTAAAGTAGCTTTAGTTCACTGTAGCAAGGATTAAGATACACTTGTTCAAGGCTCCTGAAAGTGAGCATCTGTGCAGGGGTTGAATTAGCTTATGTGCTTGCAATTCACACCTTTAGTTGATTCATGTTAGTTTTCCTGAGCATCCCTGCTTGGGCATGGTTTCGGGAACAGCACTGGGAGGGTGTTGATTCAAAGGAAAGGAATTACCCTTTCTTAATGGTTATTGTTTCCAGCAATGCCCCGCAACATGTGAGAAGCTGTACGAACACACATGAAGGCTTGATTTCTGCCCCAAGAGCTCACATGCTGGGAAAGAAACTAACCAGTGTAAGGAGAGATACTAAAGATCCATGCTGGAATTAGCCATGTTATATCAATTCAGTTTTCAGTAACCACTTTGAGCAAACCCATTTTTGTTTGTTTGGCAAGGCAACATAAGGCTACCGTAGTTGAAATGTATTTCTGTCCTCTGATTGGGACTATGTAGGAAAAAAATTCCAGTAAGTTACTGTAAAGAAAGTTATTTTGGTAGATGTTACCATATCTTTCTGCCAGTTGTCCATTATAAAATAGGGAAAAAATATCATAAGGACAGAAGTGACTGGATTGATTGCAGGTAGTCTGATGCTTTGCATAGCCTTGGCTGGAGAATTTCACCTAGCAGCTTCCCTGACATCCACTCCAATGCTTAAAAGACAAAGTAATGAAGAGCCTACCGTATCCATTAGTTAATTTAACATCCCTGTTAAAACTGCAACTTATTTCTGGCCTGTGTTTATATAGTCTTAGAATGAGATGTATAATTCAGAATAAGTAATGTGTCGATGTCTTATCTCTGTTATACAGGGCAAAAAGGTGGACAACCAGAAGTGGTCACCAAATATGGGCGACTCCTAGGAAAACAGATCAGCGTAGCTGGAGCTGACAGACTTGTGAATGTCTTTCTTGGAATTCCTTTTGCAAAACCACCTGTTGGACCTCTTAGGTTTTCCCCACCACAACCACCTGAACCATGGAGCAATCTGAGAGATTCAACTTCCTTCCCACCGATGTAAGATCCAGTTGCCTTCAATTTTGTTTAGCTGCTCTGTTGGCCAAATTAGCCTAAAATTAGCCATATACACCTTACTCAAAACATTGGGGTAGTAATGTTTTGTCCCATTAAGAACATGAACTTCTAAAATTTCTCCTGCCACTTCTCTTGTGAACTGAATGGTCTCATTCCTTACTAAAAATACCCTAACAGCGATATTTTCAGTAGTTAATATAAAGCTAGAGATCCATGTCAGTGTCAGGTGTGAAATGAAAGGTACCACATTTTAGAAAAAGAAAATGACAACGGGACTTTACACTTATCATTTTGGATGTTCTCTCTGTTACCCTGTGAGAGAGAATCCCAGAAAATAAAATCTGATGAGCCAGTTTAACTGGGATCTAGCTGCCTAAATAGGATCTTGTTCATAAATGATTTTAACTGTAATTCCCAAGGTGCTTTGTGTACACTGTAATAACTTATCTCTGCACCCTTTTGGTGGTGATATCAGTGTTACCTTGTATAACAGGATGGCACATTTCTGCGAAGAAATAGTTCTGTTGAGAGAGTCTAGGTACAGGGAATTTGGCTAAGCAGGAAGCATCCTGCTAGGAGTTACAACAAGCTCCTAGAGTAAGCAAGGGTAAAAAAAGCAAGCTGTGAGCAGAACAGTTTGTTACAAGGAGGGGCCAGGCTGTTGTGTTGGGGCCAGAGGAGAAAGGCTCCCCTCCTAGTACTTGAGACAAGGAAGAAGGGGTTGGCTTTGTCTAATTGTTGCTTTGTTCCCATGTTTCATTTGGGAGGATTAGCTGAGGAACTTCTCGGGGAGCAAAACCCACTTGTGGAAGCTAGCAGGCTAGGCAACTTGCTTACACCTTAGCACCCTGGCCTGGGACATTGTCTCGCACAACCATGTACAAACAAACAAAAAACATGATTCTTGGTCCAGAGGCTTCAACCTATGACTGAGACCAAAGGCAGCTGGGGGTTGCAGACAGATGAGAGGGTAGGAACAGACCATTAGAAAGCACTGGCCAGAATAGCAGTTCACTGTCTTGGCATGCCAGTGCCTCACCATTGTCAAGATTTTTGTGGGCACTTGGGGCAAAAGAGAACTTGAAGGTGGGATGTGACACAACTTCATAGATGTCAGTGAGAAACCCCTCTTGAGCAGGAGGGGCCAAAAGCATGAAAGTGGTATTCACACGTTTTCCAGGAGGGTGCTAGAGGCTGGCATTACAGGCTGATCAGAGTTAGGAGTCGACTTCTCCGTACACAATGAGAAATGACAGGTAGAGGGGGATGGACCCAGATCAGCCTTGAAAGCAAAGTTCTGTGGTTTCTGTTTGATGTGATGGAGCAGAGGAAGATGGTGGAAAAAGTGTAAAGAGAGGGGTGCCATGTTTACCCCTGTTGTCCATGCTCAGTCCTGGTCAGGAAGACCCTTGTTGATAGGATAGTTATAAACTATTTTCAGTCTATATCATTGTCTAACAGTTCTAGCTTTTAGGGGTGCCAGTTGTCATGCAGTCCTATGTTGTGCATTAGATGTCCACTTCCAATCTTTTGTACAGTTTCTAAAAATAAGAGTAAAATATCTGAGGAAAATAACCCTTACAGGTCCAGAAATGTGTTGGACTGACTGGTAAGGCAATCTCAACTCCGAGTTTCTTTACCTATGCCCTGGCTTTCTTTTGGGCTGCAGCTAAGGATCAGGGGACAGCAAGGCAGGCCCTATGAGGAGAGGCTGTGGGACCTGAACCTGTTCAGCCTCCACAAGAGAAGGCTGAGGGGGGATCTAGTGGCCTGTTATAAACTAGTCAGGGGGGACCAGCAGGCATTGGGGGAGTCCCTGTTCCCCCGAGCACAGCCAGGAGTGACCAGGAATAACGGTCACAAGCTGGCGGAGGGTAGATTTAGGCTGGATATCAGGAAGCGCTACTTCACGGTCAGGGCGGCTAGGATCTGGAACCAACTTCCAAGAGAAGTGGTGCAGGCTCCTACCATGGGGGTCTTTAAGAGGAGGTTAGATGAACACCTTGCTGGGGTCGTTTGACCCCAGTACTCTTCCCTGCCATGGCAGGGGGTCGGACTAGATGATCTACTCAGGTCCCTTCCGACCCTAGAAACTATGAAACTATAAAGTGTTATGTCCCTCAATTATTTTTACCAGTAGGGAGTGGGGGGCAAATGTTTTTTTTCTATTTTTATCTAGACCAGTATTTCAGCTCTTGCTTCTTTAATTCATTAAAGCTGGTTTTCTGCATTTCAAAATAATTTTGTAGTATGAAAAAAATAGCAAGTTAAAATAGACTTATTTTAGATTATTCCATAAGTGTGTGAATCTTCAGAAACATTATCATCAGAAATCCATTTTTGTCAGGTAAAGCTACTCAGATGCTTTTCCATTACTGCCATTTTATTTGATGTTGGTATTGTCTGTATGTATGCAGGTGTCTACAAGACCTGGAGTGGGTAGAAACGATGAAAATAATTGAAAAATTTGAAAATCCTACCACTGAAATTTCTGAAGATTGTTTATACCTGGATGTCTACACTCCTGCCTCTTCAAACAAGAAAGCCAAGTTACCTGTAAGCAAAGCTTGACCTCTGTGCTGTACTGTATTCTGTTGCTGGAATGGAATAAGTTGGTCATAATGTCCTCTTAAATCTCTCCTTCATAATCTTAAAATAGGACACCGGGTTTCTTTGGCTTCAGGTTACACAAGATGGTACTTGGCAACAACATGCATTGCTTGCTATTGTGTTCCAGGTATCTAGGGTGTCCAGATAGCAGCTGTCTGCTTACTCCAAGCTCTGGTGAGCTCATCATTGTTCTCTTTAGAGCTTTTCACGAATAGGGACCTACTGAAATCGCGGTTGCACAGTTTTTGTAGAAACTGCCATTTTGGGCAGGATTCATGAAAAAACACGGGCTCTGCACTTTTGGCAGGCTTGCTGCAAAAAAAACCAAAAGCAAATTTACCAGCAAGCAGAGAAGCCCTGCAGTCTTGGAGCACATGGGGAAGCTGGAAGGGGGAAAGCTGGAGGGAAGGCAGGGGGGCGCTGCTCGCAGCAGCGAGTGGGGTGATCAGCCCTGCAAGAGCCTGTCATCCCTTGGGGAGGGAGGAAAGGGGAAGAAAGCAGCAAGTCAGGCATGACCTGTGAACTGCCAACACTTAATAACTTTACCCATCGCTGTGGGTTCACCATAGCACATGCTGTGTATGTGGTCTGTGGCCCCATGGAGGGGCTGCTTGCTTCACTCACTGCTATAAGCATCCCTGCCATGCTCCAAGACTGCAGGGCGTCTCTGCTTGCCAATAAGATTGCTTTTTTTGCAGGGAGCCACTGCTTGGGGATGGCCCAAAACCATGATTTAATTACCCTAATTAAGCCCAGGAAAGCCATTAATCCATGCTTAATAACACATGGATTAATGACTTGCCCAGGTTTAATAGCAGGGTAGTTAAACCACAGTTTCAGGCTGTCTGGCCATCTGCAAGGAGGGGTAGGACTGACAGTCAGAGGTCTGGGGGGGCGCCTGGTATGTTCAGCCTGTGAAAATGACCTCTGGCCCTGGGATCTGCCCACAAAATTGGCCAGCCCCTGCCTTGTGTTCAGTAGACCCCTATTCATGAATGCATTGCCTCTGCTTGGATGTTGACTCTGCTGATAGCAGCCTTAGCTTGTGTGGTCACTTGGGGTATGTCTCTAGGGCGTCCTGAGTGCTCCGAGTCATATGTTCCTGAGTGTGCCCATTCACTCACTCTCACTTGTCCAGGCCAGACCTAGGAGTGCCACGGGCAAGCCAGTGCCCCAGACTGCTGCTCTCAAGCACTCTGGGGGCAGATCTTAAGAGCAACTGTGTGGGGACCCCTCCCCCTCCCCCCCGAGGGGCATTGCTGCTGTGTTTCTGAGTTCTGCATGGGTGGGCAGGTGCTCAGGACCTGCTTGGCAGCTCCCTTCCTGAGCACCATGTGCGTGTACCTGATTTTTGCACCCGCACCCTTGTCAGAGTACTAGCAACTGCTTCCTGTAATAGCCCTATCTTAACTGTAGCACCAGCAGGCCATAGCAGAATTTGGTGAACTTATCTTCTTAACTCCTGGCCTCTGAGAAGGGTTGGCAGTGATCCGGGACATGGGAGATAACAACATAGATAAACAGATGTGGAGCTGTCTCATGAGCATGCAATGGGTGGTAGTTGTAGGTGGCCCTATACAATGTAGGGCTGTCCCTAGACTGCTGATTTAAGTCCCCTCTAGTCCTGGGCCTCATTTCAGCAGTTTTGCATAGGAGAATAAATGGTCTGTAAGCACAAGTACCACTGCAGTCTCTTGTACGTTCTTCTTGGTAACACCTGGGAATAGTTCATGTACTCCCAGGCCTTGACTCTTTCCCCCTTACTTATCTGTCTAATCCAAGCCATTTCCAAACCTTGCTGGCTGTCCTATATGAGGTGCCTCTACAATTTTCTATGGTCACCCCATTCATCCAATCCATCTTCATTTATATCCTGATTATTGCAGCTCCCTTGTCTCCGGATATCCCTGTCACCCTGTCCAGACCAAACGTGACTGTGGAGATCCCTTTCTTTGTGACCTTCTTCATGCTGCCACTCCTTGTGCTCTCTGGCCCTGGTTTCTGCTTTGCTTTATCAAGTTCAAACATCCAGTCTTCACCAGGAAGACCCAGTTGAATTCTGCCCCCACTTTCTTAACCAACTCTTCTGCTTTCTACTCCCCCAGTATTTTGTGTTGCAAACAGTGCCCATCTTGATATTTTTATTTGTCTGCGTCTCCTACACCCTTCTTCACAATTCCCTTGTCGTCTTTTGTCCATTGAGTATCTTTTCTGAGCTGAGCTTACCAAGGTATAAGGCAATTCCCTTCTTCTGACCTAGTCCTTTACTACACCATGATGTGTATTTTTACTTGGGTAACCCTGTACTTCATTCCCTCAGCCTCCCCCTGCTGTTCCCCTACCTCACTTCATTGTGCCAGACTTGAAATCAGCTGTTTGGGACAGGGAGCTGTTTGGACTCTGTACGCCAAAGTGTTCACCACTTCCCTGCGTGCTGTACAGTAACATAAAACAGCCATAGCATTCTTGCTGAGTCATGGAAGGGAATACGTTTGTTTAGAAATACGAAGTCCAAGGCTAGGTATAAATAATTGAAAAACAGAACAACTGGAAATTACTTGATAAGAGCATGGTTAGTGTTAAATGATCTCTGAGCCCCTTTAAATTACAGTTTTATCACACTGGAGAGATGAATGAAACCCGAAGGATGGTTAGAGATGTCTTATCAAGTTCATGGTGATAAAAGAAACTAGAAATGGACAGCATGAATGACTCCTCACAGTACCAGCTGCATGAACTTATTTTCACCTGCCTTTTAAAAGGAGAATTTTCAAATAGAAAATGCAATATGCAGTACTTTGTGTGCTTACATTTTATTACAAAGTTACCAAATTTAGGATGGCAGGCAGTTTGACTGCCCTTCTTTTATTTTAGGTTATGGTGTGGATTCATGGAGGAGGTTTCGCGCTAGGTGGAGCTTCAGCATACGATGGGTCAGCATTGACTGCCTATGAAAACGTGGTCGTGGTAATCATCCAGTATAGGCTGGGTATCCTTGGATTCTTGAGGTAAGACACTGTCACAAGCCCTGGTCAAGCTGCTGTGTTTGGATCCTACATGCAGGATGTGTGCCTTTTAAGCTTCCTTGAATTTAAGCACACTTGCAGGGAGTAGAATCTGTTGCTAGTGCTCCTTTTTGAAATTTGCAACCTCCATAGTCTAGCTGCTTGGACTCTGACACTAGGGTCAACTCCCTCAGACTCCCTAGCCCTCCCTGGAGTCTTAGTCTTATCATGCACTCTGCTGCCTTGCAGTTTGCCTCTTGAGGGGCACATGGTTATGGAAACAGATTCAGGAATTGCACAGGGCTTCTAAAAACAATAGGCCTTCACCATAAACAGCTCATAAAAGCTAGATTCATGCAAAACAAGGAACACGTTTCATTTTCTGCTTCAGATTCCTCAAGTCTCTTGATCGTTCTTTAGGATCAGCATCTTCTAGGGAGTCAGGGAAACTTCCTCTCTGGCATGTGGCTTCTCCTGCCAGTGACGGAATCTTTCTCTGAACTATGTACTCAGTTTCTTTTAGGTTTAGTTTGTCCCACACTGAACAGGGTTCCTTTTCCCTCCTAAAGCTCATTTATTGCCCACCTTCCCACTCCTGTGTCTGTCTGCATTTCTAAACTGTTGTATGAACACTTCAACTCTTTATTACCCTTCTAGGGAAATTCCATATTTTGTCACTTGGATTCTTCTACTGGAGGTGCCCTACCTGCCATGCTCACTGCCCTGTCAAAAAAGAATCATTACAATATTAACAATTTATTTTGCTTCAGGCACGCAAGTGTGTGACCATGTCCTTACTAGCTTGTAGTAGCGCCATTAGGGTGAGGCGAGAGAGGCATTGGTCATGGGTGCTGAAATCTAAACCGTTATCCTGGTTTATCTCTGCATCCTGGTGTCTCTGCATGCTATGGAGAGCCCTGCACTACCCAGCCATAGACAGTGTATCTGCTATGTGGGAGGGGGCTGATTGATGCCCCTTCACTTGGGGGGGCTTTGCCATGGGAGGGTCAGCCCTGCCCCTCAGGGGTGGGTGGGCAAACGGAGCAATGAGGGGTCCGCAGCACTATTGGCTGTTTCCCAGTGCTAGCAGCTCAGCTAAAGCATCAGCAGTAACAGCTTCCACTCGAATGAGAACCCAGGCAGGTAAAACCCTTCTCCCCTAGCACTCCCTGCACTCCAAAAAAAACAGTGCAGAACAGAGAGGTCCATCGAGCTGCTCAAGACAGGCCTCCTGTTAGCAGGCAGAAACAATCGACCACCTCTTCTGGGACTGCCCATACACCAGAGGGGTGTGGAAGGAAGTCTGTGCTCTCCTCCTGGTAGTAACAGGTTGCAGAGACCTGGCTAGGGAAACGATTCTCTACAGGCACCTGACCCAAACAGCTTGCTTCGACCAGTTTGTATCCTGGTACAGGTATGCATGTTGAAAAGCCAGGAAGCTGCTCATAAACAGACACTCAGACTCCACAGTCGAGGACTGTATTAAAATGGGACTAAGTCAGGGTTGGGCAATTATTTCAGGCGGAGAGCCACTTACCCAATTCTGGCAGGCTGTCGAGGGCCGCATGGGTAGCCCTGCCCCTTGATAGGTGCCCCACCCACTGGTCACCACTGTGGGACCAGTGTCCCAATGTCTTAGGACCAATGTCCCAGGCCCAGTGATGGCGGGTTGCAGGCTGGCAGGGGTCTGTGGAGCCGGGCTGGGCTGCACCAGCAGGGAGAGGAGGGAGCTGGCCTGGCTCCATAGAGCTCCTGCTCTGGACCCTGCTGGGACCCTGCTGCCCTGCTCTGGCCCCTGCTGGAGCTGCCCCTGGGACACCAGTGCGGGCCCTGTGCTCCCACTGACTCTCGTGCCCACTCACTCGCAGTCCCCCCCAGCCCTGCAGTACAGGCGGGGGGCAGCAAAGGGAAGGAGCTGGTGTGGAGCATGGGGAAAAGCAGCCCCTCCCCTGCCCCATGGCTGGCGCTTCCTGCTGCAGCTGCTTGCAGCCTGCGCAGGGCTGTCCTGAGCAGGCACAGGCATCTCCACGTGGGCTGCGAGTGACTACGGCGCAGGGCGCCAGGGCAGAGAAGGGACTGCTTTTCCCCCACACTTAGCACCAGCTTGTAACCTGCCCCTGCTGCCAGCCTGGGTCCTGTGCTGGCTCCGGGCTTGCCTGTTGGGGCTGTGTTGCAGCAGCTGCAGCCCCCCTGCTTGCTGCGCTGGGCAGCTTTTGCTGCTACTGCTGCTGCCCACCCAGAGCTCACGCTGCAGTGAGGCTGCCACCGCTGTCCCTGTGCTGCCCAGCGTGCAAGCTCCGGGTGGGCAGCAGCAGCAAACATTGCCTGGTGCAGCAAGTAGGAAGGCCGCAGCTGCTGCTGCCTCATTGCAGCCCTGACAGGCAAGCGCGAGGGTCTAGGCTGCCAGTGGGGGTGGGTTACAAGCTGGTGCTGAGCATGGGAAAAAGCAGATCCTCCCCTGCGCCATGGCCGGCACCCCACGCTTCAGTCACTCGCAGCCTGCATGGGGATGCCTGTGTCTGCTCAGAACAGTGGGCTGCAAGCCGCTGCATCAGGGAGTACCAGCCATGGGGCAGGGGAGGAGCTGAATTTCCCCGCACTCCGCACCAGCTCCTTCCCTGCCCGGGGTCCCCCCCCCTTCCCTCCCCCC